CACGCTCCCCGGCCCCCTGCGCCCGCGGGATCCTGCCCTCCGGCTGGCCCGGGCTGCTCAGAGAAGCGTCCGTCCGACCGGCTCAGGCAAGTGAAAGCCCCACGAGTTGGGGGAGGTTGGAGGGGGGCCAAGGGGATGAGACCAGCGGGAGAGGGCGGCCAGGAGGGGAGTCTTGAGGGAGTCTTGAGGACAGGCTCCGACCAGCCTGAAACCCCAGCAGAACGGAGTAGTGCCCAGACAAGAGGTCAGGTACCTGTAGTCCGGGACAGACTTCTCCAAAAAGAGATGAGAAGGACGTAGAGGGAAACAAGGGAAGGGGACATATAGCATGCAGTGGCTGCCCTGGGCCCCTCTGCTGACCCTGATCCCTCCCTGTTCTATGTAACTCCGTGAGAATCTGCCCCAGGACCCACCTCCAGTCCCGGCCCTGCTGACAGCCACCACTTCCCAAGGCCCAAAGTGATCAGGGGATCAGAGAGAAGTGGGCACAGAGTCACTTCAAAACCAGGACCCAGGTGAAGCCAGGAAGGCAGGACACCCCTGTGACCAACTCCTCTCTTCACCATTTGTTTAACCAGCATTCCCTGGGCCCCTGGGGACAGTCAGGCACTCCACTGCAGCTATAAGGTGGATATAATGCTGGTCTTCCAGGACGAACGCTGGAGGATGCAGACCCAGACACCTGACTTGACCTGCTGATCTGGGGAGTTGGGCAAAGCTTTCTGGTGGAAGTGACTGCCCAGCTGCACTCCGAGGGTTGAGCTGGAGTTAACCAGGTGAAGGGGAAGTCGACCACGTTTCAGGCACAGGGGGCAGCATGTTCACCTGACTGCACCTGCTGAGTTCGGCTCCACTTGAGCAAAATCAAGGGGGCCACCTGGAAGAAGCCAGCCAGGAGGCAGCAGTGGGGAGCCCAGGAGGGATGCAGCAGGGAGAGATGGGGGAGGGGAGTGGGTGGGGTAGCATGGAGACTGAAGAGGAAGGGATGGTTTCTAGAGACACAGAGGGAAGAATCTGCAGGGGACTGGCGATGGATTGGGTTGGAAACGTGTGGAGGAAAGCCTGAGGGAGAAGGAAGAGCGAGGCTGAAATCCGGGTTTCTGGCTGGGTATCTGGGCTTTGTGGGAGAAGATGAAGTTTAAGGAGCCTGTTTCCAAGAGGAAGGGAATGCTTCCAGAGGGAGGGTTCAGCAGGGCCAAAGCTGTGGAGAGGTCAGGTTAGCTAAGGACTGAAACTCGTCTGCTGATTTCAGCAATGAGGAGAGAGAGAGAGCGTGATGGGACAGCAACCAGATTGGAGTGGAATGAGTCTTGCGGAGGTAAAGTGTAGACAGGTAGGGAGTGTAGACAGTGCTTTGAGGAAGGGGAGAGCGTGTTAAGTGGAGGCAGATGTGGGGTTGAAGGAGGGTCTGGTTTTGTTTTAGGACGGGAGGGGCATGAGTGCATCCAGGAGGAGGTGTGGTCCCGGTGAGGGGGGCTGATGAGCACTGACTGGGTGGGGGGAAGGTTCCCCCGGAGCCTTGAAGG